GTCCACCTACACTGACATGCATTAATTTTTAACTCCTGGGGTGTCCCCTATACTTGCTGTACCCACAATGCTTCCTGTCCCCCACCTCTGTGAGGTAAGTGCCTTCTTCCCTGGTTCCAGCCATGATTCTTGGAGCCATCCTCACTGCCACACCCTCCCCCAACCCATCAACCTATTTTGTGGGTCCCACTTACAGAATTCACCCCTTTAATACTGCTTTCCATTATTTCTGCCCAGACAACCATAGCTTTCCATGAAGAAAGTGAAAAAGTACCTTCAGAATTCCTATAGGCTGGTTTAATTTGCTTTTAAATCTTGATAATTAATCTGAAATTCCAAATAATAGTAAGTGAAGCAGGTAAGGATTCTTCTTTTTTCCAAGTTGAAAAACTGTCTTTCAAAATAGGATGGAAAGGTTAGTGTTATAGGACAGTGGGTTAAAGCTGACACCTGTGATACCTGTTGATACCCCAAATCAGAGTGTTGCTATGAGTCCCAGCTGCTCTGCTATCAATCCAGCTCCCTGCTAAAGTGTCTTGGAAGGCAGGGAAAGACAGCACAAGTATTTGGGCTCCTGTCTACCCATGCAAGAGGCTAGATGGTGTTACTGGCTCCTGGCTTCAACCTGCTTCTGCCCTAGCTCTTGTGCCTATTTGAGGACTGAATCATCAGGTGGAAGACCTCTGTGTGTGTATGTGTGTGGGGAGTGTATATGTGTGTGTCTGTCTTTAACTCTCTCACTGTGTCATTCAGCTTTCCATAAATAAATAAATCTCAATAAATAGATCTTTAAAAATAAGACGGATCAAAAGAACCTACTGTGTACTATATGGAATAACTACATCAATCAATGTACACTTTCCCATAATTCCCATCTCTGCATAAGTACTGCTCCTTGGCACAATATTTTTTTATATAAACTTAAAAAGGTAAATAAGGTGGTCAGCATAGTGGCAGAATAGGTACAGCCACTGCCTGCAGCACTAAAATACCATATGGACACCAACTCATGTCCTGGCCACCTACTTCTGATCTAGCTCCCTGCTGATGCTCCTGGCAAAAGCAGCACAGGGCAACCCAGCAAAGGTACCCGATACCCATATAGGAGACGCTGATGAAGCTCTGGGCTCCTGGTTTTGGCCTGGCCCATTACTGGCTGTTATTATGCATCTAGGGAGTGAATGAATCAGCAGGTGGAGGATCTCTTTCTCTCTGCAACACTTTGTACTAAATAAATCTTAAGAATAAAAAAAAGAGTAAATACAATATAGGCCAAGAATGTTCTTGTTTGTGAGCCACTGAACTCATGACTCTTAGTGCCTGGCCCCAAGGATGACTAGGTTGCAGACTGTAATTGCTGGGCCTCCCAGGGCCGGGGGAACATAAACACTGTGCTTACTTGGGGTTTGCCTTCTACTGATTCAACGCCCCTCTCTCATTCTCCATTATTTGTTTGTGATCCTTGATGTCCTTGATGATTGACTGGGCACTGAATACCCACCAAGCACCATGCTAAGTAAGCACTTCACTTGATTTGGCACACACGGACTGGATTTGCTGCACTGGGAGATAACAAGCTGGGAATGTAATGGCAACACACTGACCAGTAAAGTCGGGAGAAGAAAATGTGAAACAAAAGTCCCAGTGTGTAAGCGCTGAAGAAAATGAGATGGAAGAACCAGCAGGGAAGGGGGAGTCCAGAGAGAGTACCAGAGAGCCGCATTCCTAGGAACAGCAGTCAAAGAAGACCTCACTGAGGGGTGGCTCCTGAGGAAATTCTCATGGAGGAACCAGCCCTTGGAAACACTTTCAGTTCTCACGGGCTACTCATGGGCTACAGGTAGAGCAATGCTGTGTCACCTGACAGGTAATGAGGGCCACAGAATCTAGAACTGGAGGCTCTGGAATTTCAACCTGCATCTGTGGAACTTCAAAAGCCTTTTTCTCCATTAACCTCCACCTGCAACACTTTCAGCTTCATCACCTTGAAGACTGCACTCCACTGTGTCAGCATTTCTACACAAAAGAGAAACTACGTATATACACAGAAGCAGACAACAAGACACCGTAGAGACCAAATAATACAATAATAATAATAATAATATAATAATATAATAATAACAATAATAATGTCATATATGAAGGTCAAATACCTTAATAGCTCTCTAAAATACATTGATGTGGGGGGAGTGGGGAATCCAAAGAGGTAATTTGATCTCCCTAACTTGACATTCAACAAGAACAGTTATTCTTGAGCTTTCACTTTGAGGACACTAAATTGGTTTTCTTCCAGACAACCAATTGAATCTGTATAGACTTTAATTTAGCTCAAATTCAACAAATGTGGATGGCAGCCCAGCTGCTCCTTTAGCACATGCAAATGAACATGACACAGTGGCTGGAACTAAAATTAAACCCACCTAACACACAGCCTACCATGATTTGAATATTCAAACAGCTGTTTAGATAAACTCATATTTCAAAAACACTGGAAAAAAATATGCATAGACAGTTTTGGAGACTTGAACAGGACCTGCAGTGGGGGCAGCAGATGAGGAAGCCAGTCTACATCCTAACGGACAGGCAGACAGGACACCACTTTCCTCTCCGCAATCAGGAAAAGGTATGCAGAGGTGACATTTTAGTGGGGAAACCGGCTCTTACACCAGAGAGGGGTGAATATCTGGTAGTGTGGTTAAGCTATTGCTTGTGACACTCGTGTCCCTTATCAGAATGTCTGGGTTCAAGTCCCAGCTCCTCTTCCCACTCCAGCTTCCTGCTAATGTGCACTGTTGGAGGTAGAAGGTGCTGGCTCAGGTACTTCAGTCTTCATCACCCCATGGGAGGGACCTGGATGGAATTCCAAGGCTCCTGGATTCAGCAGGGTCTAGTCCTGGCTATTGTTACAAGACAAAGAACTTCCCTTCTCACTGCCTTTCAAACAGTATGCTTATTTTTAGAAGCAAACCAAATGGTGAGATGAAATGTACAGCATTTCGTGGAGACAAAATCCCAAGCAGTTGCTTAAAGTCACCAGGTGAGATCTTTGCACTAAATTCTGCTAGACTTCACTCCCCTGAGGTTGGACCAGCCTGTTAAGAGTTACACATGCCTGCCCTTTCTGATATTAATCATCGGGAAAGACAGTAATATCCCAGGTGCCTTAGTCTCCTCTCTGTGAAAAGGTGACAACAAATGTGAGAACTCTGAGCGAGTCTCTGAGGAGCATATGGTACAGGTGGTCAGCCGGGGGAAGGAAGGCAACGAGGACAGACACACCCAAGAACTCCTAAAGAAAGGGAGGGACCCCTCTCCTGAGAAATGCACCCAAGATCACACACCCGGCTGCAGCTTAAGACTTGCACAGAGACCCCACAGCTCACACACGCCTCCACGGGGTCTCTGGCTTCCAGGTTAGCAACCTCTATTTCAGATCTGGTATCTAATTCTTAACCAAGCTGACCATTACCAGACGAGCAGCCAACGGACGGAGCAGAGCTGCTTTTGAAGAAGATATTAAAGGATGTTATGAAACAGCAAGCAAAGACAAGCTTTTGGGAGTGAATCTGGAAACATGATGAGAATTTTAGTATTATGGACCTCACATATGTGTAGGTGTGATTACACGTATGATTATTTTAAAGTCACATACATACTTTTTCTTCTTCTCCCAGAGAGCTCTGAAACAACCTATTTCAAAGGCACTAGCTGCTCCGAGGGAACAGTTCAGTGGAACCGAGACAGAGCTGTAACAAATGGAGCCCCTGGCAGCTGATGGCACCTACACTGCTGATAAAGCTCCCAGGGTGCAGCAAGGAAGAGACACAGCCTCCTCCACCACACACTGTAACTTACACAGCAAGCTGAGCGTTGGTGTGTGTGGACATGCAGTTTTGTTGGCTTCTTCTCTCTCTCATCTTCCATCAACCCCTGCAACACAGCAGTGAGCGCAACCCCGGAAGGCCTTCAAGGGGTTAGGACATACTGGATGCTTATCTCTTTCCTAGACATCCCAGCACACACCCAGCCTGCTCAGGGACTGTACTGACCTGCCCCCTCTCCTTGGCGTCATGACAGCACTGGCACTAGATAGCAGGCCCAACCTCACAGAGGGCTGCCCGTTCAAACAGAACCAGTCTTTTCCAAGTAGAAACCTACGGCATGGGCACAGAGTACAGCAAGTGGTGGATGTGAAATGCATGTTCCACCAATGGAGGAACTCTGAATGTGAAGCGTGGAATACAGGAAGACCATCCTGTGCCCAGGAGCAGAGCACAGCTGCTCTTAAAAGATGGCTCCTTATTTTCAAATAACCTGCATTAAGATTCATGTACGAAGAATTCCAATGTGAAGAACTTCCAAATTAAGGGTCTCACCTGGAAGGCTTAGAGTGAGAGGCTGAAAACAAGGATACCATACCAACTTCCTACCAAGTGGTGACCAAAGACTCTTAACTATCAGGCCTGGGAACCCCGTGAGCAGAGCCTAATAGTCCGGGATGCCCTCCAGCCTAAAGCCTGACCATCAACAGAATAACAGCAATAACAGAGGGGGCAAGGGCAAGAGCCCGTCCCCTGGCATGGGGATGGGAAAGTGTCCTTCCTCCCTCCAGGGTCCTTCTATTCCACTTACCATCTACCCTCCTAAGTGAGAGGTTAATTTCCTTTCTCTAAGTCTCAAGGAAAGTGCCAACTTCAGCTATCACAACAAGCAGGAATATTTCTTACGTTTCTTCCATGGTTCTGAATAATAGAAAGTTTAACATTTCTGTGCCTGGATCTTAGAAATAACAAGTGGTCAGTAAATCAAAGGCACTGCAACTTCTTCTTTCATACCGCAGCCCTTGACCTTGGTGCGCATATTGCCTCAGAGCACCCAAACAACTAAATCCCATCTGGAAGGTCCTTCCACTACCCACTGCTGAAGTTCTATTGCCCACCTATCATTACAGCATGGTAGAGATACCACACAGGGACAGGAGGCCTGGGTGAGGTACTTACTGGTCATGCCGGGTGTCAGGGATGGCCCTGTCCATTCGCAGTTTGTCACTCTCCACTTGGTTGAACTTGTTGCGAGCATACGGGTCCTGCCCAGAACGGACCATTGTCCCTCCAACGTAAGCTTCCTGGTTGAAGTCTGGCCACCGTACTTTCCCTGCAAAGAGAAAAGTGTAAGGTTTGGGATGAGGTGAGAAAGGAGAGCAGAGGACTCATGCAGACTGCACTAAGTGTGCACCTGAGAAATACTGCCTGCCAGCCTTCCTGCGATGGCAGTTTCCATCCATGAGCCAGCTGATGACTGGTCTGAGAACCCAAGAGTGGATAGCTTAAGGTTCATGGTTTGTGGTATGGAAGTTAGACACCTGCAGCTCAGGGATCTGCCCAGGGAACCAAATCAAATGCTAGCATCATGCATGCTTCCTACTAAAGATGATCCCCTCTGCTTGTTCCTCTTCCCTAGGATCAGCGTGACTCCAAGAAGCCTCTCAGGTGAGGTGGGGAGAGGAGGTGTCAGTGAAACATAAGGTCACACCAGGCAAGCCCAAAATCAATGCTCATGCTGCTGGGGCCCAGAAAACCATCACACGAAGGGTGGCCCCTTGTGTGTTCATTATCCCAATCTGAACGACCTCAGAAAAGCAAGCAGTACAGACAGGTGCTGGTCTCCAAGGCTTCCCCCATCTACCAAAATCCCAGACCCTCCAGAACATGTCTGATTGCAATAAATCCCTTTCCTGGGCAGCTCGTCAGCCATGGGACACCAACAGACCCCGAAGGAAAGGAGACACATACCTAGGTGCTGGTTACTATTGTTCTCTGGGCCTCTTCTTCTTCCTTAAAACTGCCTCAAATTAAATTCTCTTTCCCTTATAAAGAGGGGTTACAGACTTCTCTTAAGAAAAAAGATGTATTTATTTTTATTTGAAAGCAGAACAACAGAGGGAAAAGAGAGAGAGAAACACAGAGAGAGAGAGATGTATTGGTTCACTCTCCAAATGGCCACAGTGGTCAAAGCTAAGCTGATCTGAAGCCAAGAGCCAGGAACTTCTTCCAGGTCTCCCACATGGGGTCAGGGCCCCCAGACTTGATCTGTCCTCTACTGAATTCCCAGATCACAAGCTAGACTAGAAGTGGAGCAGCTGAGACTTGAACTTGTGTCCAAATGGGATGCTGGCACCTCAGGCAGAGGTTTAATTTGCTATGCCGTGGCACCAAGCAAGGTTAAGTTTCACCAGGTCACTGGGGATTCACTTTTTGTCCCTATCCAGTTGCTGTGCCTTTTCCTCTGTGAATCTGTTTATCTCAGAAGACTTCAAGATGGGAGATTTTGAGGACAAAGGTCAAAGTCCTCTTCATCCCTCAGAGAACAGGACCTCAAAACACTTCTGGATAAAAGCTCCCTGAAGATTGTTCTTGCAGTTGTTCACATGCTGATACCACAGAGGAGGTGAGCCCTGTGGCTTCCAGAGGTGCCCCTAGTCCAAACATGCACGGCCAAGACCTCACATACAGGCCTTACCATTCACTTCCCAGGGGGAAAGGAACCCAAGGAAACCCGGACATGGCCACGCTGGCCTGGACTCACAGTCCAGGATGCCAAGCAGAAGGTTCTCTGAGAACACAACACTGAACCAGAGAGCTGCTCTACCAGGGACCTGGGGTGGGCGTGCTGGTGACAGGTGGGCATCTGGGTGACAGTCAACTACTGGATGGGGGTTAGCCTGGACAACAAGCAGCATCAGAGGAGAGAGCAGAGGTGTGCAGTTCAGACAGCAAACGAACGGTGAAGGGCAAGATGGACTGGGGAGTAAATGGAAAATTCCCCAATTTGTTATTAACCATTTGCCACATGCTACCTATACGATCTTAGACAAGCTCTTGGTTCTTTGAAACTGCATCTCATATGAAATAAATGTATTTTAGAAACAAAGAGGAGATGTTCTTCTGTTCCAGCTTCATAGTAGGTTACAGACGAAGACCCAGAGCAGAGGAGTGAGAACAGTCACCCCAGCCCTGTCTGCCTGGCTGGCTGAATAAAGCTTAGGACGTTCCAAGTGGTTGTTCGGTGTTACAGAAAAACACAGAAATGCATGACTGTTTAGAGAACAGGGGGGCACTGGGTTGAAGTTTGCCAAGGCCTTTCCACCAAAATAAGTGAGCAGAAACTTGAAACTTAAAGGGAGCTCACACGCAGCCATTTTGGAGGAACTGGGAGGAACACAGGGTGCTGCGGCACAATGGCAGGGACTGTGCACAAGCCTGTCCATTCAGGAGCCATCCCAGAGGCCAGTTTGCTAAGAAGAGTGTATGTGTGTCGGCAGGTAGTGGACAGTGAGAAGTGGTCAGAACTGGTAAGGCAGGGCTGCCCATGGCTATGCAGGACAGGTGGGTGTGGGGGCAGATAGCTTTTCTCTGGTGTGTTAAGATCAGCAGAATGGCTGTGTAGACACCATGGGTACCTGCATGCGGGCACTCTCACCTGAGTCTCCTGGCAATGTATGGAAAGGTGTGCGTTGCTTTCTCTATCTCAGAGATGAAGGAACTGGGCTTTGGTTACATGTGATTTGTTCAAGACTGTAGAGTTCATTTTCCATCTAAAAGCGCATCTGCTTCTTGTTGGGTCTGTCCTGTGAGGCCAAAACCACCATCTCATCACAGCTGGTTGCCATGGAAATGATGCTCAGGGTCATAGAGGTCCAGCGTGTGAAACAGGAAATGAACTCCAAAACCCCAGACCTAGCTATGGCTATGACAAGGACATAGCGGCCCCAATAAATATCAATCTATGGCAGCCAGCCACGGGGTCAGCATTTCCTTACCTTAAAATAAAATGCATCCAAAACTTTTTATTTTAGAAACATGCTTTCCATACAAAGGCAAACACCTGCTAATCCTCTGCTATCTCCACATCTTTCTGACTTTATCTCCTCATGCTTTCAGGGACAAGAAGAAACAAGGCACCCCCTGCATTGTGCTAGGTAGGAAGCAAAACTCCTCACCACCCTGACTGTATCCTTCAACCTTCAACACCTTCAGCCAAACCTATGCCAGCAGCACCCATGGCAGGAATCAAATGAATTGGTTGTAACTTATTGAACAGCCTGACATTGTTTGCCATACCCAGAAACAGTGAACGATGACAGGGAATCCCAGCAGAGCCCCATGCAAAGCTAGAGAAGAGGCTGTCCACCAGGAGATGGATCATCTTAAGTGATGCTGCTAGCACCCTTCTTGCTCCTCACTGGGCCTTCGGTGGGCAGGGAAGTCCTGGTCCTCTAGACGGCCAAGTCTCCCTGCAAGGAGAGAGGTGGCTGTGCCAAGACCTCTGTAATCCCCTACCCACTCACATTTCCTTTGCGCCAGCAGGTCCTAACCTCCTTTCTAGGAAAAGCCATGATTATAGCAGAAGATTCTGCAAGGTTCCTGATGCCAACCAATTGTGGGGCAAGTCAGATGCAAACCATGGGTGTATTCTAGATGCGGATTATGTGCCAGACATCATGCTCGTTCCTGCAGGCACAATCAGGAAAAACCAAGGCAGATGCCCTCCACTGCGAGTTCCAGGAGGTGGGCGGAGACAGAACGAGTGCACTAACAAATGTCATCATTGTTAGTCATTGAGCTAAGTGTTCTGAGGGTGAGTAACACAGCTCTGTGGAAGCATCTCACAAAAGGACCTCATCCAGATGAGGGGAGCGGGACAGGGATGGCTCCTAGTGGTGGAGCAGCACTCAAGTTGAGATCTGAACAATGAGCAGAGACTGGCAGAAGCTCTTTGAGACATCACCGAAATCTACTACTTCTTCAACACAGACTGTATGAATGCGTTCAGAGGCGCCCAGCAACACCCCTTCCTTCCACACAGAAGCGTCCTTCAACAGGACTCAGTGGCCTCACCTTGCCTTTGATCACCTCCCCAATGCACAAGGCTACTGTGCTACGGGTAGATAATTAATGGCATTTCTTTCATGAAAGAGCAGGAGCATGTCAAACCAGTACAAGGGCTTCCAGACACCTGTGACTAGGGCACACACACACACACACATACACCATGACCCAGATGTCACAGTGCAAACATGTATGCGCACACACACACACACACACACACACACACACCTGACATGAAAGTCTCACGATACTTTTGTTCACAATAGAGGATGAACAGATACATTCTCCTTTTACATGCACATGTGGCTCATGAAATTGACTTCACAATCTAATAATGGAGGGCGACCCATAATTTGAAAAACATTGAGCTAGAAGAACCATTGTAGAAATTGGTTATTGCTACGTTATACAGAATTGCTAGGTTTGGAGCCACCCTAGGAGTTACTGGAAGAAATAAAAAAGCAAAGAATAGGGTCTGCAAGAGGAGAACATATGCCCTAGCCTGACCTTGTGTGGAAAAGCAACCCACCTACACACACACTGACAATTCAACAAGTGGTCAGGGAGACAGACTGGAGGCGAACAGTCAAAACAACAGGAAAAACTCACACAATGTCTGACAATGTTAACTTTTGGAAAACAGAATATTTAGGGGCAGGGGTTTGGTTAGCAATTACATCAGCACTTGGGACACATATATCCCATAGCAGAGTGCTCGGTTTGAGTCCTGGCTCCTCTGCTTCCGATCCAGCTTCCTGTTGATGCATGCCCTGTGAGGCAGCACGTGATAGCTCCTGGTATTAGGCAGGAGGGCTGACTCCCCTAGGACCCCAGGCTGCTGTCCGCATCTACAGCATTTTCCTGGGGCTTGCCTCCTCACGCAGCTTATGCAGAAAGACCCAACCTAATCACACTTTGGCACAAATCTCACATCAGAAGGTCTGATAACTACTCAGTCCTCTAGCTAATAACTCAGTATTTCTATAGAATAGTTGATCCTAGGCTCTTAACCAATCCTTAGATGAACTTCTCGAAAGACACCCGGATAATCAGAGAATGCCTGCCTTGGGGTGTCTCGTTCAAATGAATATGTTTAAAGATTTATCTACTTGAAAGGCAGAGTTAGAGAAAGAGAGAGACTCTTCCATGCACTATTCACTCTCCAAATGGCTGCAACTGCCAGGGCTGGGCCAGTCTGAAACCAGGAATCTAGAACTTCATCTGGGTCTCCACTCTGGGTGTCAGGGCCCCAAACATTGTGACTAC